TATTATATATATGTAATAGTTTCAATTGTGTTTATTTTTGCTCTGATCTTTATTTTTTTCTATTATGCTAATTTTAAGTTTGGTTAATTCTTTTTTTTTTTTTTTGCAGTTTTTGGCCGAGGCTGTGTTTAAACCTGCCACCTCCGGCATTTGGGGCTGGTGCCCTACCCCTTTGAGCCACAGGCACTGCCCAATTCTTGCTTTTTTATTTCCTTGAAATGCATTATTAAGTTTGGGGTCTTTGAGCTTTCTAGGTGTAGATGATCATATCTCTCCCAAGATATGGGAACTTCTCAGCTATTATTTCATTAAATATGTTCTATACCTTTCCCCTTCTCTTGACAATATGAAATGCTTCAAGAATTTGCATGTCATTCTTACGTAGAGTCTATTCTAATCTTCTACGTATTGTTCCAATATTAGTGTATGTGCTGCTGAAATAACCACTTACTAAAAAACAATTTTGGGAAAGATGTTCAACAGTAACTAATGGATTACTTCTTGCCTACTTAGCACCCTCCTCTGAAATAATGCTCTCTCTAATTTAAACACAATTGCAAGACTGACTATCATTGGTTGGATTTGGGTGGCATTCTAATCTTTGAACTAATTGTCTGGCTCAAGTTTGTGTCTTTTACCGTGAGATGGGTCAGCCACATCTGAACCATATTAAGTGAAATGTAGAAAGTAAGCACCAGTTCTTCAAAGAAAGTGATTCACTGGTTATTACTAGATAAAGAGTGAATTTATTTTATGAAAGCAGAAGTATTTATAATGTATTTATTGAGGTAGCTAACATTTCTGAATGATGAACCCATCGTGTAAACTCACTGATGTGCAATGTGCACTATAGGTGAAATATGACTAAAAAACCAGAGATTCAGGATGATGTTTGAGCAGTGTACATAGATGCTAACAGTTGTTGGAGAAGGACAAATATGAATGGGAAGCAAAAATGGTGGTGAGGGAATTACAAAATGAACTTGCAATGCGTACAACTTAGAATCAGGAATTGCTTGGGTTCTCAGTGATTGAAATCTTTACCACTAGTATTTATTTATGCCAGTGTTGTCATCCTCATCTCTTTGGCTAATGCTACCAAGTTCTCACTGGCATTTTTTATTGTTTTGTGGATGATTCTGAGCAAAGAAGGCACAGTGGAGTGATGGAAAGTGCACTCCACCTGTTATTCAGTTTTAAGTTCTGACTCTGCTACTCTGTGGAATTTATGAATTTTTTCCCCTTTTGAGCCCCAGTTTCATTATCATGTGAAAGATGAGGGTAACTGATCTGAAAGAACTGTCTGGCATGTGTTTTGGCACCTATATTTTCTCTACTTGGTCTTAGTGCCCTCATTATCTTTCCTCTCTGTAACCTACTTAGCCCTTGGGGAGAATGTATACTAACTTCTTCTCTGTGGATTCTCTCCCAAGTTTCAAAATTCATGTCATTTGTTTTTTAGGTTTTGCTGGCTCCTGCTCTCTACCCAAAGAGAATCATATGACAAATTAATGCTTTTTAGCAAGCTCATCAGGGTAACTTGTGACCCTCTGTTGTCACAGGTTGGCCCTGTCCCATGCCTTATTGGTGGTACCAGCCATTTTCCCTTCATTAAATACCTGGTATCCATTTTTCTCTATAGAATATACAAATGTGCTCTAACAAATTTTCATCAAAAAGTACTAGAATAATTTTTATGGAATTTTATATGTTATCATTTGAATTTTGGGAAAAGACTATTTTATAGTTCAATAGTCGGAGTTCTCCAGAGGGACCAAACCAAAAAGTATACATGTGTGTGTATATTTGTGTGCTTGTGTATATGGAAGCGAGTTTATTTATTAGAGATAATCAGCTCACACAGTTACAAAGATGAAGTCCCATCAACCAACAGTGAAGCTGTAGTCTGGGGCTAAAGGACTAAAAGCCCCTGAAAGGCCAATGGATTAGTTGGTACAAGTACCAGAGTCCTAAGGCCGAGGAACCTGGAGTCTTAAGGGCAAGAGGAGAAAAGGCCTTCATGCTCTGCAAGGGAGGGAGAGGAAGCTGAGTAAGTGGAATATCCTTCTTAACACCTGCTTTGTGCCAGCAGCATCGAATGGCGACCACCCACATTGAGGATGGGTTTTTCTTTCCCAGTCCACTGATTCACATGTCAGTCTCCTCTGGAAAAACCCTTACAGACACACCTAGAAACATTGCTTCACTAGCTAAGCATCACCCAGAAACATCGCTTCACTACCTAGGCATCCTTCAATCTAGTCAAGTTGACATCTAGTATTAACCATAACAATGGTTTGGAAACTTCTCTTTCAGAACTGAATAAAGAAGTTCAATGTCATTCTTTTGAAGGGTACCTCACAAACTTCAAATGATTGATCTTTACTTTGGAATGTACCTCTGAGGTTATCTTTTCCTCTCTGGAAAGTTGAGTCCATGGCAAACTTGTTTCTAATGAAATGTTTCAATTTTTTTTTATTATTATCTGAGACAACAAAAAGAACTTTCAAAAAAATGGTTTGTATATGATCACCACTTTATCCCATTCTCTCTCTTTTTTATGCTTTTGTAGAAAATGATCAGTTTATAGCAGAATGAAATTCAAAGTAAAATTAAAATAGAAAAAGCCCACAAATTTAAAAAAAATAGTTATTTGAATTTGGTGATCATTTTTGCTGAGGCATTGTTTCCCTGAGTTTGCATAATAACTTTATTTAAAAAAAGACAAAACTTCTTCTAAACATCAATAAGACATTCTACTGCAGCACATTGCTGAAGCTCCTACTTAACTCATCTCACGTGTTTACAATGATTTTCACCCCATTCGATTGTAAGTGCAGGCAGTGATGGCATCTTGCTCATTCTTGTAAACTCAGTATTAAGCATAGCACTTTTTATGTAGTAAACACTTGTACTCTCAAATGAAAGAATAGTATGTAGGGATGAGATCTATCTGTTGAAAATGTGTAACTATTGAAAGAAAGAAGTACTGTACTTTGCTATATGTAATTCATTCCCATGTATAATGAACACCCATGTTTTTGGCCCCAAATCTCAGAAATACACCTCTCAAGAAAGTAGCTGGCTCTTGAGACACATCTGGGGAGGGCTAATGTTCCCCTGGTAAATGTGCAGATTACATCACCCTCGTGTGGCACCTGCTCTGTGAAAAGCTACCACTTCCCTCTCTCCCAGGAGCCCCTCCTTCCCTACCACGTACTAAGATAGTCACATATGTAGCTGGTGGGTTAGAAGCTTCTGCAGCCTCTCGGCCTATGGGCAGCCAGGAAGGTCCCTGGGCTGCACAGGGCTCCTAGTCCCTGCTGCACAGCTGGGCCTTGGGCGTTTGCTGTACATGGGTGTGGCCTACCTTGCTGGCCTCACCACCACTCCCTCCCCTGATCATGGCACTCTGCAAAGGCTGCTCTAGCTCACTCCTGCCAGATCCCAGATCCTCCTAGATTGGAACCCCATATTCCCAGTGAGCCCAAGAGGAAGGCTGTGGTGGCCCTTAAAGGCCCACTGGGTTCTTACACTCCAGAGCTATATTACCCATGTATCATGCACATCCTTATTTTTCTGTCAAAAATTTGGGCAAAAAGTCCTCATTATACATGGCAAAATATAGTATGTTGGCTTTGGTGATGGGTGACTCAGGTAGATAAGATTATAATTTGGAGTTCTCCTGTGTTTTAGTAGCAAAATTTCTGTCCACTCTGATGTCTTCTGTAGAGTTAAAACAATAGAAAGCTGTATTCAGCCATCTCAAACTCTTTTCTCATCATAAGGATGGATTTGCTTTGATCATAACACATTCACAGGTGATCTCGCAAGGCCAACACTTTGGAACCACCACCATTTGAAAAGTTTCATTCACGCTAAAGGAAATCTGAGAATCTGAGTTCGTATATCTTTTGTTCCCACTTTTGGCAGTAATGCATAAATTTACCTTTTATGTTGAGAGGAAGCATATTGAAATGTGTTTTCTATTTGCAAGGAGGATGTCCATTTTAGTTGGAGGAACGTCAACTTCAAGGAATTCAGTCACCTTGGTTTCTTCCCATATTGTCTGCCCTGATGGCAATTCAGCACTTCAAATTTTCCTCCCCTGAATTCCAGAAGTTTCGTGTCATTGGAAAGGTGCAGATTTCTATTCCTTATCTCTGGTCTGTTTTTATTCCGCGGGAAAGGAGACCTGAGTACTGAAGAGAAAGGTACACAGTGAAAAACATAAAACATATTTTCAGGCACTTTTGAGAAAAGAAAACTTAATGGGACACGATAGTACTATGGGAAATAGAGAGAGATAAGTATCAGGCCCCATGCTTAACCTTTTGGATTCATTTTTGCCAATTTTTATGTGTGGTTCAGTAAATTAAATAAGCTTTCCTTAGCCCGGAACTGTCTGTGATAGCACAACCCTTCATTGTAGTATCACAGACAGACATTCAACGTTCAAGACAGGGGCCTGACACCTTTCAAAAGTGAAGGAACCTGTGGCAATTTTAAACATTCCAACCATATTAATTCCAGTGACAGTTATCCTCTAAGTCATTTGAAATGGATTCCCCCTTTTCAACTTTCAGAATTTATATTTGATCCTTATGACCTCTGGGGCCTGCACAGGGGCACTGTGTGTTTGAGCCTATGCTGCAGGAGGCAGAAGTGGGAAATTGCCGATCTGGTCCTATTTCTGTCTCTCTCCATCTTTTAGCTGTTCTCTGTACTTTTTTCATGTTTCTAGGGAGAAATCACACATTTCCAAAAGGAAGGTTGAACGGTTTAGAGTGCTGTCTTTGTTGAACGGTTTAGAGTGCTGTCTTCGAGGGCAATGCTTTTATTTTTTCCCTTTCACCTAGGCTGAAAGTTGAGTGACACCTGTTAGGCATAGGCAATGAGGCACTGCACATTCAATGTTAGGCTCTGTGGTTCTCATCAAGTGCCTCTGACCACCAGTTAACACAGTTACTTCTCCTCTCATGCTCACACCCAAGGGAGCCAGCTTCTACCTTCCTCTGTCCCTGCAGCACTCTGGGACCTGTGCCCTTCTCCAACTGTGAGACCATTCTCAGGAAGTGCTCTTCACTTTCTATACGGGCAGGAAGATTTGGATGTCTGTCACAAACAGCCGGAAGGCTTGGTGTGGAGCCCAGTGTTTATACTTCAGAGTGGGTTAGGGGAATGGTCACATCAGGCTCTTCTGGACTGAGGCTCAAGGCTACTGTACATTGGCTAATGTGGGTGAACTGTCTTCAGGTTTCCATGTGTGCTCATTTTATCTTATTATTAATTCAGCCACAAATTAGCAATGTTCTTATTAGTTTATCCATGAGAAACTGATTTTCAAGGCAAATGACTAACGTGTTATTTGCATTTGGGGTGAGGGCTAGTAGTCAGGGAGCTACCAAACCTGTTCAGATTTGCTTTCTAGGGACCCCCTTTCCTGG